TGCTACTATCTCCATTTTACAGTTGAGGAAACTGAGTCAAGCAGAGGTTAACTGGTTTGACCAGATCCAACAACACAGCCACAAAGAGTTGGTAGTCAGATTGTCCTAATTTTGGGTCTGGCATTCTAGCCCATATGCCACAAGACTAGTACTCTAAGCCAAATCTTCTGCCTCCTAGATCTTACCAAGAGCCAGCCATTTCTGTAATGGAGATAAGCTAGAAGCTTTTCCATTAAGATCAGGGGTCAAGCAACAGTGTCCATTATTACCATTGCTATTCAACATTGTACTAAAAATGCTAACTACAGCAATAAAACAAGAAAAAGAAATGAACATAGGCAAAGAAACAACAAAACTATCACTTTTTTGCAGATGGTTTGCTTAAACAACCTTAGAGAGTTGACCTAGAGCCATGATCTATCTTAGGATCACAGAGCATAGATTTGGATCTACAAGGGACTTTAAAGTCACATAGCACAATGCACTCATTTTACAGATAAGAGACTGAGTTTCCACTTTACATGAATTAATAGGATTTGAAGTCAAAAGGAACCTCTTAGTCTTTATAGAACTTTTAGTAAAGTTCTGCAAGGCAAAAACAAAAATATGGAAGGTTCATTTGCCCCTAACATATAGGAAAAAATTTTATTGCATATATTTTCCCAAAACTCCACATTTAATTAATACTTGATTCTAGTTCTTGAGTTTCCATTGCATAAATGCCAGCATGACTTTGCACAACTGTAGTATGATTCCCATCAGATAAGTTTCTCAAATCACTTTATTCATGTTTTGACATTAGTCTGAGATTTGACTAACAACAGGATGAACGAGAAGATTGAAATTACAAAGAATGAAATCATTTACCCAGAACTGCAGAGTAACAAGAGGCAGATAACCAAGATTAGAATCCAAAGATGATTTTTCTTTCACTAACTGTATGAATGTATAAGGAAAAAAGCACTGTTTTACACATGATGGGGTGGAGCACCCTGGTCCAAAGTTTCCCAGAAGACCACCCTTCTTAACCTGCCTGAGTAATACCAAAAGCATTGATTTTCCTCTAATCCCAGTGCGTATATTTCAACTACGGCCCAGCTTCCTGTTGAATTTGGTAGTAACTGATGGTCTCTTTTTATTATTTAAATAGTGTTGTGGGACACTAGGATAGAGCTCTGGCCTTGGAGTCAGGAGAACCTGAGTTCAAATCCAGTCTCAGACACATGACACTTACTAGCTGTGTGACACTGGGCAAGTCACTTAACCCCGATTGCCTCACCAAAAATTTGGAAAAACAAAAAGACTAACCTTTAAAGGTATAAAATATAAATGCTGAAGGAAGCTGTAAGAATGGCATTTCCCCCCCAGAATACACATAAAGTCTTTTTCTAGTTCCATTTTTTGAACTTTAGGCTAGATCTGAGACTCTCTACTGGCTAGGCCTCCCTAGCAGGAATCTCCTGATCTAACTCCTGTAGAAGGGGAAACTAAAGCATCTGCAGTATCCATGTTTATTGAGTGGATAATAGCAATGGAACAAGGGCAGCCTCAAGTGGCTATTTGGAGTTTCTCATTACAACCACAAGAAGAGACACTATTAGCAAGTACAAAGTAGGGTCTGGAACTGGAAGAAATCCCAGAGACCACCTAGTCCAGGCCCCTCATTTTAGAGATGAGGAATCTGAAGTACAGGGAAACTAAGTGACTTTGATTTGAACCCAGGATAGCTGACTCCAGAGTCAATGCTAATTCCATTGATTCAATTAAATTCAACAAACATTTATTGTCTGCTATGTGCTAGGGGATACAAAGATTAAAATAAAAATGTCCCTGCCAAAGAAGTTAGACACCAATAGGTGGAAGAATGCAAGATGCCCACAAGCATGTATTGTATGAGGAAAATCAAAGAGAGCTGTTTATGGGTAATTGCCATACATACAGTAACTATAATAACACCCACCAAGAATTGAGACCAAATTTATCCTGTCCTGAGATTTCTTCCACGTTATTGCAACACTGAATTCTCCTAAGAGGGAGGGAGAATGTTGTGCAATAGAAAGGGAAAGTGCCTGGTTACAGTGGAAGGAGCCCGAGATTTGGAGTCAGACATCCTGGGTTCACATACTAGCTCTGCCTCTTGCCACTTAGTCAGACTTGGAAAAGGCACTCAACCCTCCAGGCCTCCATCTTCTTATCTATCATGCCTTCATTGTTACTCCTTCATTTTTGAGGAGGATTGATGGCATCATAGTGTCATGGTTTGACTCGTGTGTGAATTGGATTCAAGTGAGGCAGAGTCCACCTCAGTCTCTCCTCCAGTCATCAAATTCCAGGGGCAAGACAAAAGTCAAGGTGACGGTCTATGGTCTGAGATGCAGTAGATGACCTTTGCATCTTGGTGCCTGACCACGCTGTAGTGCTCCACCAATGCCTACTTTAGCCGCCTTCATGGCCATTGGAATAGATTGTTCTCATCTGCCCATTCCACCAGGGGTGGAAGAGTCAGGGTAAACATAATTTGGGTTTGAGGCCTTTTGGTTACCCTCAACCTGGTTTAGCCCACCTGCCAAGATGGTTTTACTAGGGTGTGGCCCCTGTGCATGCTCCAGTTTTTTGGAGCCATAGATGAGAGTCAGGTGAAAGGCAGACACCAAAGGATGAGTAGCCTTGCAAAGGGCTCTGCAAAGCTCTCACACCAGAGGTGCTAGTCCTCCCTGAACATCCCATACACTCCCCTTATCTTTAAATGAAGGTGTTGAAGTAGGTGGCCTCTAAGGACCCCTTCGGGGTCAAACCCAAAGAATGGAATTTGCTCTGCATGAGCCCAGAGTCCTTGTGGATACTAGGCCATGGGTTACCCTAAAATATGATGCCAAGAATGGGGTGCTGTATTCTAGCAGAGTACATCAGAACTATCCCCTCCCTAGTAAAGAGAGTAACTTTTGCTACAGCCCAAAATTGGAGTCACTTTCTTGGCTATGACAGAAACCATGGAAAAAGTAGCAAATCTCGAGCTGGAGGACTTGGGTTTGAATCCAGCCTCTGATGCTTGCCTATGTGACCTTGGGAAAGTCATCTCACTTCTATGAACTTCAGCTTTCTCACCTTTAAATGAATGGGTGGCCTCTGAGGTCTCTGAGTTCTAAATCTCCAATCCTATTATGAGAAATAGTTAACAGAGAAAAAGAAACCCAAAGTCTTGATGTGGATATGAAGAAGTGATGCAGGATACAATCAGTTATGAGAATTGATGCTGTTTGTGAGTAATTGCCATACATTCAGTAGCTATAATCACACCCATCAAGAACTGAGGTCAAATTCATCCTGTCCTGAGATTTCTTCCATGTTATTGCAACACTGAATTCCGTCCCTGCCCCTTCATATACTGGTCATCTGCTCACTACCTCACACACAAGCTTCAAGGCAAGCAGGGACCTCACGCAGCAAAAGCTCCATAAATATTGAGTGACTAACTTCTCGGAAAAGCGTAATTTACAAAATTGAGTCGAGGGGTTGTTTGGGTTCATTTGCTTAATTCTTCTGTAAAGCCCTGAGGGAATAACACTAAGAGCTAGCGTTCACATGGTCTTTAAGGTTTGCACAATGCTTTACGTTTCATTTGGTTCCCACAAAAACCTTACAAGGCGTGTGCTATAGCTTGTACAGATATGGTGCCAAGAATGGAACGCTGTACTCCATATGTGATTTGAGCAGGGCAGAGCACCTCAGAACTATCCCCTCCCTAGTAAAGGAAGTCGCTTTTACTATAGCCCAACATTGGCGCCACTCTCTTGGCTGTGACAGAAACCATGGAAAAACTAATAGATTTGGAGTTGAAGGATCTCATTATCCCCATTTTACAGAGGAGATATAGAGTGATTCAGTGATTTGCCCAGGGCCACACAGCTAGTAAGCGTCTATGGCAGGATTTGAACATGAGTCTTTATGACTTCATGACTCCCAGTCCACCTGACTTCATTATGGGCTCAGTCCATAGTACTAATGGTGAACTCAACCACTTCTCCAAATACTAAAGTTCAGTTTCCAGATGTTGCATTTCCTTGGGAAGGAAGACAATGAGAATTAACTAGTAGTAGAGGGAGGGGGGAATGAGCCATTAGAGTGTGAAGGAATAATATGAAGGAGGCTAGATGAGCAACAAGGTTGGATTACTACTGGAAAAAGAAATATACAGTCATCACCACCACTATTATCATCTCCAAGCTACATAAAACAAAAAAATTTCAAAATAAAGAGACCTAGAAGAGATCAAAACCATGGTTGAGCCAAAGCAACTATATCTCATTCCCTGCATCCCATTACTGGGATGGTTTGGAAGATGTTTTCATGACCTTACACACAATGACCTTCCATCCTAATACTTCAATTCAGTTACAAAAATCAGACACTTTATCTACCTGCACTATAGTCCATAGAATATTAAATATAAAAATAATAATAGTAGGGTAGGGACTGGTCCCAGAACCATTTCAATGAAAAAGATAAGGTGAAAAACAATAACAAAGTAGCACATGCTCTGGGCTCACTCTCTCTAATCCTACCCAGCCTGGAAGGTCTGGTCCCCAAAAGGTGGCTACTACTTCTCCGCCTCAAAGTTCTACGGGTAACTCTGAGGGATTAGAGTTGTCTAATACTATTAAATATAGAAAATATTGTGCATGCTTTTAATAGGATGAGGCTTTGGTTGGCCATCCCCCTCCCACTTATTTTAATAATAGCTGGCATTCATGAGTACCCATCTGACATATTACCCCCAATATCAATTGACTAGTTACCATCTCTCCAATATTAACCAACCAAATATAAATTAATTTTTAGAAATGAATATTTACTAAGGAGGTATAGCAGGGACCAAAGAACAAAAAATCTCTTACCCCACCCACCTCAGAAGGGGTGCACAATTTTCTTTCTATATACCCACTGAATCCCTGGGATGAGTGGATTCAAACAAAGGAGATGGAACAAAGCATTCCTCTTACCATATCTCTTCCAACCATTAGAACCTCACAAGGTTGTAATCTTGTCCATTGTGTCTCCAATACTCATTCACCTGAGATCAGGAAAGATAAAACACAATAGAGACAGAATAAAACAGAGGTGCCATGCTTTAGACACAAGGTAACCAGGGGAAAGAATGGCTCCCCCAACCCAGAAGCTAATGGTTCTTCCTCTTTGAAAGCTGTCAAGGAAAAAAAGAGAGAGTTTATCTGCTCCCAACTTTTGTAGGCACATTAAGTTTTGACTCAGCAGCCCAATTAAAAGACTTCTTGTCACGATACAGTGATGAAAGGAAACAGTCAGAGAATACTTGCACCTACTCTGAAATGGGAGTAGAAAGGGCTCCTCCATCGTGCAATTACAGAAGCAGGCTCACCAAGCCTCTACATGAATTGGCAACGGATAGAAAATATTATACATGCTCTAAAAAATAGGACTGGGCCCTTGTTGGCCAATCCTCCATTATTTTAATAATAGCTTGTATCTATATATCATTTGAGGGTTTGCAAAGCACTCTACATATACCATCCATCTTATCCTCACATCCACCCTGTGAGACAGGTATTATAATACAAAAGAATGTGTGATTTCATGAATATACAGAGTTCCCTTCACCAATGTAGACTGTATCCATTTCTGACTTAATAGATAAGTCCTAGGCAATTGCCTCTGAGGAACTGAGAGGTTAATTGACTTTCCCCTGGTCAAACAACTAGTAAACTAGAAAGAGGCAGGGCTTAACCCAAGACCTTCCTATGTCCAACTTCACCACAGCACAATGTCTCATGGGGTATATATTGTTGCCCTGACCTGACAGATGAGTAAATTGAGGCTGAGAAAGGTTAAATGACTTACCCATAACTAGTACCAGAACTAGTAGATGTTATAGGCTCTAGTCAAATCCAGGTCTCTGGGCATCTCCTAGGATGGCCCAGGTCAAAGGTTGCTTTGACTGGTGGTTGCTTTAACTTTGAGTGATTTTTTGAACTATTTTATCTCTTCTTCAATCACCTTCCTGGGGCAGGCTGATATTTGGGCTAGGATGAATAAATATCATAAGTAGTAGGGTCATGCAGACTATCTTGGAGCTTCACTTGGCAAGACTGGAGTGGGGCAGGATGGAGCAAGCAACTTTTGTTCTGTATTCCCAAAGCTCCACCCAAATCCCTGTTTTCCCTAAAACGACATTCCTTAACATCATATTCCAGCTTCCCTCACCTTTCCCTTTGTCTATTCTATCCAAGGCTTTAGCATGGGCTCTTTTCTTCTGTTAACATCTCCTTTCACAAACCCATGTTTCCAGGGATTTTTTTCCCCATTTTCTTCCCCAGAAAAGAAACCAGACCCCATGGTGTCTCATCCTCTAGAGCACTGTAAAGCTTTTGATTTGCATTTCATATCAATTCTGTGCACATTCTAAATTAAACAACCTTGGTTCTTTCAGTGAACTTTCATGCCTAATATTTCTCATATTGTTTGCACAATTATTGTTCCAAATCTTGCTGAGCGTCTCTGTCTCTCTGCCTCTGTCTCTCTCTCTCTGAAATGTTACTGAAGGTTTTTTCTCTTCCAGATTATGTCTCCTGTTTACCATAAACCTAGTTTTGTCTGTCATTCTCACCTCCCACCACTGCTAGTCACTTCCTCCTGCTACCCAGCACTGCACACCTACTCACAAGCAGTTGCCACTTGACAACATTCAGATCACATCTGCTTGACTCGAGAATTTCCTCTCAAACTTTTTAAAGGAAACAACCTGCCTCTCTTTCCCCTTTACATGGACATGCTCTGTTGATTTTTTCCATTATTCTTGGACTCCATTCTGGCTAGTGTCACTTGATCAAATCAAGTCTGCTGCCCCGAACAGTACATGGCAATCTAATTGTATAAAGCAGCTCCCCCCTCCCCCCCAAAAAAAGTTCATTCTATTTTAATGAGTTGTGTCATTGTTGGGGGGAAAATTTTTTTTGCGTTAGCCTTTGATCGCTTACATAAATATCAATGAGTTCACACTGACCTTGGGGTAGTTATTTAGAAAAAAGTTCTTGCTCATTCTATAAAACTTTCTTGGCTTCCTCTATTGCAGTGATTGCTGCCAAACTCCAACCCCACCCCCACCCCCTAGTCCTTCTTAGAGCTTTGTACTCTTTGGATGTGCACATCGAGGCCCTGCAAGGAAAGGTCACCTAGCCTGTTTTCTCAACAACCCAACTTGACTTAAAAGGTTCTCAATGTGCTGCTTGAATCAATTCCAATTTTCTGCTAAGTTTCCCATTTGGCTTGGTGTAAGCCCTTCACAGTGTTGTGCAAATTAACTCTACTCTACTTTGTTATTTACAAAAAACTTCCAAAGAAGTTTTATATTGGGGAAAAAATGGATTCTTTCCGCTGTTCTGAGAAAGTAGAAAGTAAGCTTCTGGGCATAGTACTTAGAAAACTAAACCACTGTTGGATAATCTCAACTTTACCTACTGACCTGATGAATGATTAAAAATATAGTGTGCTCATCAACAATAAAGAGAGCTCTAAACCATTAATAATTAGAGAAATGCACATCAAAACAACTCTCAGCTTTCACCTCCCAACCAGCAAATTGGTAAAGGGTTTTTTTTAAAATATGAACTCTCAGTGTTGTAGGGTTTAGGAAAAGACAGGCACATTAATACACTATTGATAGATATGTAAATGGGCCCAACCATTCTGAAAAACAATTTGTAATTATGCTAAGAAATTAACTAAAATGTACAAACCCTTTGAAAGAAAGGTCCTAAATACACCAAATATACTTTTTTTAGTAGCAAAAACTGGAAATAAAAATTGACGCCCATCCATCACAGAATGTCTGTGGTGCACATGCAACAGAATGTTACTGCATTATAAGAAATCACGAATACAAAAATACAGAGAAGCATGGGAAGACATATATATACACACACACATATGTATAATATATATACATTAATACAAAGTGAAACAAATGTATTGTATATATATACTCACTTATGTGTATACATACATATATATATATACACGAATACAAAGTGAAACAAGAATAAAAACTGTGTACATAATGACTGCAACATTTTTTATGGAAAAAACCAACAATTGAAACAATGCTTCATAATTATAATGACAAATTACTCCCAAGAAGAGATATGAGAATTCACTTCCCTTCTCTGTAGAGGTAAAAGGCTGTAAGTGTAGAATACTGCATATTATGTCAGACTTAGTTGATGTACGGGTTAGTTTTGCTGAACTATTTTTTTCCTCTTCATTTTTTATTCTTTATTGTAAGGGTTGGCTCAGCCATAAGTGAGGGAAGAGGATATATTCAGAAGTGAATATGACATGTAACTCAACTCCTAACCAATCTGGATGGGGGAGGAGGAGAAGCAGCCCTGTGTTTCATGCAGCCTGTAGAAAGTTGTTTTGGATTGGTGGGGAGAATTTGGGCACAACCCTGTACATGTGAGGGATAGGGATGATTTGAGAGCTTTGGAGAGGGTATACACTCTTCATTCTTGCTTCAAAGAGGACCCGAGTGATTCTAGAGGAACTCCAGAAAAATCACAAAGACAAACAAGCTGCAGATGTATACTGGAAGCTGGCTCCTCAACATGTCCTTGATTTCCAGCTTGCCTTCCTAGTGACATCTGGGAGTTTCCTCTTGGGCAAAGCCTCTCTCTCTCTCTCTCTCAATAGAGCTATCATCTCACTCACATCCAAAGAACTCATTCATCCTGTGTGTTTTTTTGTATATTTGCACTAGCGTATTTGGTATATTTGAATGACTTCTCCAATTTGTTCGGTGTTTTGCCTGGATAGTTGTCTTTGCTGTTCATTATTTGTGCTGGTCTTTTACGTTAACTTGCATTTGATGGGTGTAAGCATGGGGCAACTCTCCCCTTTAAGGGAGGCCATGGAAGCAACTTTTATTTTGAATGTATTGTATCCCTAGGCCAACAATATTTAGGGAAAGAGATAGACGTAATTCTAGTCTGATACTATATGAACATAGGAGCAAAAAGGACCCGACCTGGTGATGCTCCAAGCACTTGTCAGTTGTCCTCCTCTTCTTCCCTTCACCATGGTCTCCTTCTCTCCTTGGGAGCAATCTTAGATCTCCCAATATAATTATCAGTACCTCTGAACTTCATTTAGACAAGTCATGTAAATATATACATCTTACATGGGCATCACACACCTTACAGATACAAAAATAAAGGATAATTTTTTTAAAAAAAAAACACTGAGGAGGAAAGGAGATTTTCCCTCCTCTGATGACAGCAATGTCCTATTTTCTTTTCATCAGGGGAGTAGGAGATACTTTCCAAGGAAACTATCTAGGGGACATAGCTCAGCTACAGGAGGAAGGGGGGGTAGGAAAATGAGAGAGAGATGTTGGCAAATATTTCAGGAACTTTGTCCTTCTAAGTTCTGAGGAGCAATGTTATTGGGATTATGGGGCTCCAAAGATGGAAGAAGTATCATAGGAATGGTTCCATGTGATATTCTTCAGGTGATTAACGTTCAAGTCAAGTTCAGACTGGGCCTGTGGAAGGGGTACGGAGGCACTTAGCCAAGAATGTGTTTGTACGTGATTTATATATACCTACAAAAAGTGGGACGGCTATTGTGGGCCATGTGGTACAGCGAAAACAGTCTAGTGCTGCGTTTTGGATAGATGGACCTGGGTTTGAATCTCATCTCTGCTTCATACTATCTGGGTGCCCTTGGGCAATCTTGGGCACGTCCTTTCATTTCTTTACCTCAGTTTTCTCACCTTTGAAGTGATTAGGTTTGACTAAATGATGTCTAAGTTTCCTTCCAGGCCCAAATCTATGAATCTTTCTTTGATGACACAGTCAATTCTTGGGTAATTTCTGAGGTTAGATCCAGACCACTGGTTTTGGAGTCAGAAGACCTGGATTCAGACCCCACCTCTGATGTTTTCTGCTTATGGGACCCGGTCCTCAGTTTCCTCATCTATAAAATGAGGAAGGAAGGCTAAATTATCCCTGAGATCTTTTCCAACTCAAAATCCATGCAAAG